CCCCGCTGATACCCTGCCCGTGACTGGGAGGGATGCTGTGGATGGAGCCTTTTGTTCTGGCCACCCACGTCACCTCCCCAGCCCCTCTCCCTCGGTGGCCACACGTGTGAAGGAGCCCACCCCCACCGTTGTGACAGTTCACAGGGCTCACACAGGCCAAGTGGAAGCCGTGTTAAATCATTAACCCCGATTCCGGCTTGCACTTTCTGACCTCTCGTCCCCACCCCGGCAGAAGAACACCCGTCCTGACACTCGGACCTAGAATCTGTAAACCCTGGACCTCGCACGGGAGGGTCGTCACGGGAAGAAAACACAGTCCCGGCAGGTGCCCGACTCAGCCCAAGGTGCCACAGGCGTCCAAACCGTGATGCTGACAAGCAAACAAAAAAACTAACGAAAACAAGACCAAACAAGTAATAAAATATGAATTTTCAAATTGTGAAACACTTCAAATATACAGAGAAGCACTGACTGCCCAGCTTTGCCAAATATTACATTGGTCATTGATATGCTCCAATAGATTTATAAGATATAAAATAACACAGATAGAATTGAAGGCCCTGATTTCTTTTTTTAAAAAAACCTAGTCCCATTCTTCCTTTCCCAGAAAGAACGGCTGTCCTGAATCCCTGATTTTGCCATTCACTCTTCCCAAATACGTTTTATCCAATTGCTGTCTGGGAACATGTTCATAACCAATATTTGCTGTTGTCCGTAGGCTTCACGTGGCCCGTATCTTTCTGCAATTTGCTAGTCACTCAGCAATGTGCTTCTGACCTCTTACCTGGCTGATCCCCAGAGTTTTGATTCATTGCCTTTAATCTCAGCATAATATTCCCTCGAATGACTTTATCCCGATTTCGCCCCCTTCACAGCCCCTGCTGCCCACGTTGTGCCCACGTCTCCTTGCGCATCAGCGGGGCTCCTCCAGGTCCCAGAGACGCACACCTCGCCTGCGGCACACCTGGCCAAGCTGCTCTCCAAAGCGGTACCGTGCCAGTTCCTGCTGCTGTCGGTTTCCAGAGGACTTTCTTCCACTGCCCTGAAGAACACAAAAGGCACATGTCTCACAGAGCTCAGCATCCGTGATTAGAGGCATCGCCTGCTCCCTGCTCTTCTGCACTAAGGATACTAGTCGCTGTCTGCCAAGTGCCTGCAGAGCACTGAGCTCAGTGACTCCCACCCCTGATTCAATTCTTACAGCCTGGAGGTTATTGTCCCCATTTTGCAGATGAGCTCACTGAGGGTTAATGAGAAACACAGCAGAGCGAGCTGGCAACTGCCTCGTCGGGAGCTCTGGTCGTTCTGTGTGCCGCAGTGCGCCGACTTCACCTGCTCAGTTAGTGATGGTGGGGAAGGCTTACTCTAGAAGAGGCAGACAACTTGACAGTTGTTTATCAGGTATTCTGCCGAGGGGAGGGCAATATCTTCTCAATTTACGGGAGAGAGAAAGGCTCAGGGAGAGTGAGTCTGTTCCAAGTTTCATGAAAGTTAAAGGCACAGTCTGACTCTTGCTCCAAAATCCCTCTCTTTGCCTTCCAGGGAATACCTAAGCCGTATTACCGCCCTCTCCTCTGGCAGTCCACGGCGTGCAAGCAACTCGAGTGTGGGGGCCAGTCTACACTGGTATCCCGGCACCGCTGTGCCCCAGCTCTGTGCCCTTGGGAATATCATGGAACCTCACTGAGACTCGGCTTCCTCATTTGCAAAGGAAAACCTGGTGGAAGCCATGGCACATAACTGACCTGCAGTGCGTGGTGGCCACCTCTCCTTGTGGGCACCAGGTGACCCTTGCCTCGTCATATCATCCACTTGGTTGTGCCGGCCGTGGCCCTACGGGCTGGCGTTTCCAGCCCCCTGCACGTGGACGCTGACAGGAGAGGCTTCCCCATCACTATCATTCTAAACCAGTTACAGGTGGGGGCACGCCACCTGTGCCCTCTGTGACCCCAGTGACCTGGAAGTAATGATCGATTACTCAGTGAGCCTGCCTGGAGATGCACCGCAGTCCCGCTGGAGGGCATCCCTTATTGGAAATCAGAGCTGGCCGTGCAGCGGTCGGCGCCCCACCTCCCTGCAGGAGGAAGACAGACCAGCCAGGTACCCGGGAAAGCTCAGCAGATGCCAGGTGCCTGCCCTGTTTTCTTCAGAGTCGCCTGCCTGCCAGGAACCTTCAACAAGTCTGCTCATTCTCGTCTTTGTATGCCTATCCAAGTGGCGGGCACAGAAAGGTACAATTGGTCTCATTCATTCTCAATCCACTCAGCTTGGCACATATATGACCACTTCCATCACTTCTGCCGCTGAACCGGTGGACTCCCCTCACCTTTGGGGTTTTCATTTACTTATTTTTAGAGAGTGAGGAAGGGAGGGGGAAAGAGAGGGAGAGAAACATGGATGTGATTACCAATCAGCAGTTCTCTTCCCATTCCCCTCATAGTCACAAAGTGGCTGCAGAAACCCGAGAAGAACATCAATAGCATCCTAAGCAGGAGTGAAGGGGAAGTGCCTTTCCTGTGTACTAGTCAAGAAGGAAAGTCTCCTCCCAAAGCCCCCAGAAGACTTTCCCATGCATCTCACTGGCCAGACTAGGTCACCCGCTCACCCCTGGCATCCAATAAGCCTGGATGTCTTCCATTTGCTTTCCAGATCCACATTCTGCTCTTCGACACCCTTTGGGGAGCAATAAGGAAGACCTGTAAGGATGACCTACCTGTGAGGATTTCAGGGTTCCCATTGGCCCTGACTGGTTTCAGCCAGTGGGGGGTCCCAGCAGAAGATCAGACGGACAGAAGACAGTGACGAGGGAGGGGGAGGAGAATATTTCCCTGACTTCCCTCCTGGGCCTGACCTCAGGCTGGCTGTGAACTTTAACCAGAGCTCCCTGCTCCCCTCCAGCCCCCCCTCACTGGACTCTCTCCTAAATCGTGTTATGACTCTCCTGTTCCCTTTGGCCTGGGGAAGGTAACAGCTTTCTTGTTACTACTCTGTGGTTACTTCACTGTCTCTCACACACAGGGTCCGGCAGAAGAAGGAAGGCCTGCTTGAGTGTGGTTGGCAGGGTAATAAAATGGGTGTAATAATGTATAGTTTTAATTTGAACATCTTACCTACAATATCATACAGTGAGCGCTTGAGTGTGATAGTGTTGTTACAGAATTACATGCTTATGACTTTGGAATAAAAAAAAATTTGTAATAAAAAAGGGGTGTTATTTGACCACACCCTGTGTTCACACCTTTACATAAACTTCTAAAATCACTGCATTTTGACTTTGCCATCAGTTACTCCGTGGGGGCGGGGCCCCGAGTTGCTACAACCAATCACTGCCAAAGAAGAACAGGACGAAGACCAATCAGATTTCACCCCGAGGGGCTGGAGGAAGTTTCTGCTTCTGAGTCCACACAGGACAGCCTGTGCCCGGAGCTGCAGGCCAAGGGGAGGAAAAAATCCTTAGAGCGGAAGTATCCAAGTCCAAAGGCCTCGCAGCAAGGGTGGCAGTTAAGAAACATCCAGAAATCCAAGTGGAGGTCTTCCTTCACTTTCCTCTCCGTCTCCCTCTCTGTGTCTGTTCTCTCTCTACTTCCCCAGTTCTCTGTCACCTGTGGGCAGCGTGTTCTCCCATCTCTGCATCACCAGGGTGATTAGAATCCGAAGTATGTATCTGGTTCTCAGGGGGTGGCCCTGGACCAGCAGCCGCCAGCATCTGGGAACTTGTTAGAAGTAGAAATCCTCAGGCCCACGCCGGACGTCCTGAATGGGGAACTCCGTTTAACACCCCTGCCCCTACCCTCCAAGGACACTCCCATCGTGGCCTCACCGGGATGTCAGGGACTGATTGCGGCTCAGACCTATCGGCCCACCGCCACCTGCTGGCACAATGAGGTCAGTGTGAGTGTCCCGTGAGGGCCGCCCCTCTCCGGCAATTCATCCAGAGCAGGACTGGGCAAGTCCTTTCTGTCCATCCTTCCAGTTTTTCTTTTTCTTCTTTACCAGCTGAACCACAGGGTTCGCAGTCAGAACTGGTGCTGGAAAAGTAAAATAGAAAGCCGTCCTAGCCCCGGGCAGCGGAGGAGAGGAGGAAGAGAAAGGAAAGAAAAGGGAGGAGAAAGAAGTGGTGCAGACCCCCGGGATCTGGTGAAAATGCAAACCCTCGCCCGGCACATCTGGGTGTGAGACCGCATTTTGAAGCCCCCCTCCCGCCTGGGGCTCGAAACTGCGGGACCCCGGACTCACCGAACGCCCCCTCTCTACCGCCTCACACTGGGCATGGAAAGGGAGAACCTTCCGGCGCACAGGTTCTCCCACCCCAGGGCGCGGGAATGGGGGGGGGGGGGGAGAGGGGGCTCCTGAAGACGCCCAGGGCTGGCCCCTCCCCCCAACGCGGACTTCCCCACGCCCTCCCGGAGTTTCCCAGTCCGCCCTGCTGGGGTGGGGCTGAACGGTGTGCACTCCTAACAAGTCCCTGGGGCAAGGCTAATGATGCTGTCCTTTCGCTCTGTTGGGGCTTTCCTGATATTTCTATAGCATCAAGTGACAAAGATCGCCTTTATTTATTCCGGAGGCTAATGATTCCTGGTGTCGATTTTTTAAAAACGAGGAGGAGGGAGAAGAGAATGGGGGGAACTATGTATTGTTTCACAAAACCTCTCCCCTGGAGGAGCACCAGGCCCTGACCACCTGAAATAAAATGCAACGTCGCCACCTGCTGGTTGTCTTGGGAAGTGCACAGGGCTGCGCGAAAATGGCCCCTTAATTAATCTTGGCAGACACAACACGTCCTACACGGTACCCACCCTCCTCCTCGCCTTTCTTTCAGGCGTTGTTGGCAGGTCGGCAAAAAAATATATATATATATATGGGTATGAACCCTACGGCCCCGGGCTTCCTCTGAGACCCGGAGGAGCGGGAATCTAAAAAACACAGCAAAAAGTAGTGACCACACAAATCGTCCACCTCCAGAGCTCCCTGCTGGGTCACCTCAAAAAATAGCTGGAGAGACATTTCCCTGGCAGGGGAGATGCCGCGATCACGAAGGCGGTTTTCCCAGGGCGAGGCTTATCCACTGCACTCCGGTGTGCGGACCCCTGCGATTTCCCCAGATGTGGGAAACTCGACTGCATAATTTGGGAAAGTGGGGGACGGCGTTTTGCTATCTCCCCTGAAAAGAAAATAAGCTGAAGAGGAGTGTCCCGTAAAGATGTGCCCTCCCGGAAAGTTAGCACTGAAAAATGCTTTACATCCGAACATTTCCATACCCTTCATTTTGTAAAAAGAAAACAGAAAGCACAGAAAGATGAAGTGACTTGCCGGTTGGGTTGGTCACACAGCAGCTTGGTGACGGATCAGCAAGGTCACTCCAGCCCCTTACGTCACACAGCACTTTCAGCAACCTTTGCTAAGGGTAAAATGCCGGAGCTTGAGTCTGTGTTCTATTTGGGGGCTATGGCTCTAAGAATAAGAATTTAAGTCACTTGCCCTGGCTGGTGTGGCTCAGTGGGTTGAGCACCAGACTGCAAAGCAAAGGGTCATTGGTTCGATTCCCAGTTGGGACACATGCCTGGGTTTGCAGGCCAGCTCCCTGGTTGGGGGTGCACAAGAAGCAACCACACGTTGGTGTCTCCCTCTCTCTCTCCCTCCCTCCCCCTTCCTCCAAAATAAATATTTTTAAATGAACTTAACTCATTAAAAATATATGTAATCAAGGGGGCTGCCCCATGGTCTGTTCTACCAATTAGAAATCATTTCCCAGTTACTCAAATAAGCTATTAACATTTTCAACATGAGCTGACTGGTTTATTATTTACTCAATTCTTTTCCTGTAATCTATACATTTAGTTATTTGTCCTTGTCCTAAATAATCATATCTGTCAAGCTGTGTAGAATACCACTTGCTGTATTGATTGCTTGATTCATTAATGTGAAATACCCAGAATCCATTTGTCTGGTACCTCAAGGCCTCTTGCTCCCCACCAGTGACGTCCCATGTGTTTTGGGGAGGAGTGAGTGGGTCTTCAGTAGCCTGGGACCCATGTTCCGATCTTGGCAATGACGTCTGTGGGTCGTGTGCTGTAGGGCAGGTTATAACCTCACTGACCCCTGGTTTTGTCATCTGAAAAGTGGGATTAGTAGCATTTCCCATCTGATATGTCCATTATTGGCATTAAATGAGATACTCCACATCAGAATTTGACAAGATGCCCGGGACCCCATCAATGCCAATATTATAATGGCTCTTAGGAGGCAGACACTGCATCTTTTTTGAATGAAGAATCTCAAAGCTAGTCATCAATCTCGCACTTAACCCTCTTCCTTGAGGGTGCAGACCTCTCGTTGGAAGACGGGACTCTGTCACCGGTTTAACTGGGCACATGGAGGCTGGTGTCATTATAAACAGAGTTGCCATATGATTAGAAATCCTTCTTCTGGGTATCTGCCTGAACTTTTGCAAAACATTTACTTACAAATATATATGCACCCCTGTGTTCACTGCAGGAGAACTTGGAGACAACCAAAGTGTCCTTGGAGAGAAGACTGGGTGCAGAAGCTGTGGCCCACACACACTGGAGTGCTCCTCAGCCATAAGGAAGGTGAAATGGTGCCATTTGCAACAACGTGGATGTACCTGGAAAACACCATGGCAACCAAAATAAGTCAGGCAGAAAAAAAGTGAAGAACCATATGATTTCACTCATAAGAGAGAAAACCAAAAGCAACAAATAAATGACCACGACAAACAAAACCTCATAGACACAGACAAATACTATGCACGAGCAGAAACACAAAGCACATCATTAAAGCAAGTGTGTGTGAAAATCACTGCTCTTTTATTGGTCTTGTGGTTACCAGAGGGGAGGGGGTGGGGGTGCGAGAAACGGGGAAAGGGGGCCAAATACATGGTGACGGAAAGAGACTTGACTCGGGGTGGTGAACACACCATACGATATACAGATGATGTATTACGGAATTATACAGTAGAAACCTGTGTCATTTTATTAACCAGTGTCACCCCGATAAACATAGTAAGTTTTTCAAAAAGTGGTTATAATGGTTTCCCTGAAGTCCTTGCACGACTCAACAGGAATAGGGGCATTTTCAAGTCTCGAAATCAGTGGGGGCTTCTCATTAGATATTCTCTAAATGTGAGGGTCGGGAGTTTATGCTGTTGAAAGGCTGCACACTTTTCCCACATCAGGAAACAAACAATTGTTCCCACGAACTGGGAAACAAACGCTGCTTCCCAAGGAGGAAATGGGCTCCACCCCCGACCCCCACCCCCCACCCCACCCCCCCCACACCCCCACCCCCTGTGTGGATAGGCTCCGCCCACGACTCATGCAGGACAGTCTGGCTCCAGAACTAAATCATTCCGAAGGAGAACCCACTTAGGATGCGTACACTCTTCAGTCTCCTCAGCGGAGGAAAATTCAGTTTGGCTGTACCCTTTGTGCCTTACAGGCTGCAGATAGGAAAACAAGGCGGTCTTGCAATTTGGAGGAGGCTCTTGTGACCCAGCTTGTTTAAATAATGGCACGCGAACAGGAAAGCCGGAATTGTTAAAGCAGGTTCCCATTCAAGCGACAGAGCTCATTCAATGGGGGTATTGTTCTTCTCCAGGGCAGGCTGAGAGAAAGTGGAGGTCCCAGGGGAGCTGGGGTAAGCGCACTCCATCGGTCTCCATGGCTTGCGCAGTGGCGTGGGTACTCGGGAGCCAGGGGGGAAGAGGGGAATGATACCACTGTGATGGGCTGATACAATACCGAGTTTTGTCCACACACTTGCTTTCATGATCTTCCCTGGTTACCGATGTCCCGGCAAATCGGCCGGACTGCAATCTCGGCCCCCAGTAAAGTAGGGAATAGAGCCCCACCACAGGGATTCGCACCTTCGCTGCACGTGGGAATGACCACAATGGCCTTAAAATAGTACAATACACCGGGACCCGGGCCTGCGCAATATTCTTTCCTGAGAAAGCTGCGGGGGTTCTGGCACGGGGAACGCAGCCTGATGTCCTCGTTTTTAGAAGATTTGCCCGAATTTAATGGGCAACCTCCCGCCCCTCCGCACCTGCGCTCTGCCCCCAAGGCCGGCCTGTGCGCACCGTGTCCACACACCGTGGGCGGAGCGCTCTGCCCTTGGGCTTCCTGTTGGGTTCGGCCAATGGGGACACCGGGCAGGAAACTAGAGGAAAGGAGGGAGAATGAGGTGACCGTAGGCTGTCCCGTGTCCTTCTACAGAAAGTCGCTGTTGCTCTTACAGCAGCAAGCTTTGTCCTGCTCGCCTTTCCTGGATCTGCGGGGGCTGCCCTTGGCTTCTCCCGCTGTCCGGTCTCCCCCCAGCACCTTGGCAACCAGTCTTGCCAGCGCTGAGCGTTCCTTGAATTGGCCTCATTGGCCTGGGAACCTCCGTCTCGTTTTGGCCCTGACTGGATGGCCCTCCGGGGTTCTGGCCACCGTCCTCCGCTTTCACAGCCCCAGGGGGAGAAAAACGATGGGGGACCACCCAGTTCTTAAAACAGGGCGCTCCTCTTCGCAGACGTTGTCAGGGGCCCAGAGCTGCTCTCCGGGAAGCGAACACGGTCGCGAGGGCATGGCTGGTTTGCAGGAGCTCCTGGTCCACCTGCTGTCTCTCTGCCCAGCTGTCCTGGCTCTCAGACAAGGCAGTGTCCTCCTGTGAGAGTCTACACACTGTAACTGAGAGGCGAAAAACACCTGACTCCCAGGAAACGACAGCAAGCAATGAGTCATCACCGATGCCACAACAGGGCGAGAACACCCGTGGCCCCAGTTTGCAAACAGCCTCTTCTCGCTCTTCTTTTGGGAGCTGCAGGTAGCGTTGGGAATGTGACGAATCATGACTAGTAAAAAACACTAGTCACAAATTGAATTCCCGCAGACACTGACTGAGCGCTGTGTGCCAGGCACCACGTGGCCGGCCCTGCCCTGACCACTGCTGACCGCTGGAACTGCACCGAAGCCCAGACAGTAGCCACGATTGTTCCTCGTGTCCACAGCGGAGGGATTTGAGGGGAGTGAAGAGACTCACCATGGGTCCCGCAGCAAAAGGCAACGCCAGGTCTGGCTGGTCCCTGTACGGCCAGGACAGGGCCACCATCGAACAAAATGCAGACGGCGCTTAAATGCTGTCTTTGTCACTTAAGCACTTGGGTCAGCTTGGGCAGGTCACCAAGACTCAGGATCCACGTTTATAAGAGAACACTAATATCCCCTGTGGCCCAGCTGAGTCAGGGTCCCCTTTATCCCCACAGAGATCCCTGTCACATGGTAGGTGCCCGAGGTTGGACAGGTGGTTGAAATTGCAAGGACATGGAGGTTCTCTTTGCTTTTACACGTCTGATTTTTTCTTATTCTTTATTTTGGCCAACTCAGGGCTTAAGGTGAGGAATAATAACAGCACTAAACCTCATGACCATCGTTTATTTTACGCCATCATGGCCCCGAGAATGCCGCGTGTGCTATCTCATTCCAAACCCACATAATCCCCAAAGCAGGGGACTATTCTTATCCTCATTTTTGCAGTGACTACACGGGGTATCAGAGATGTTCGGTCACTTGCCCAAGACTGCACAGCTGCAAGGGGGCAGAACTCCCACGAGAACCCACATCTGCCTAGCTCCCGCCCCGTTGCTCCTAACCACGGCCCCAACCCCACAACTATTTTTACTGCATTAAACAAGCCATTTATATGTTTAATCTATGCCAGGAACTGTTCTGAATACTTCCAATATTAACTTCCTTAAACCACATAAAAGTGCCATGAGGTAGATGCTACTACCATCCTCATGATTACAGGTGGAGAAAACTAAAGCCCAGAGAAGTTGAGTAACCCGCCTAAGATTGCACCGCCTTTGCAATTCCAAGTTCACTTTTTCGTAAGCGTACAGATGAAAGCAAAGCTGGGCACCAGGGTGTTGTGGGGACTAACAGATCCAACTTGCCTGCAGACTCCCTGATATGTACTGTCATGCTGTAAAATTGTGTCCTTTGCAAACACGTGAAGGAAACAGACATTGGTTTTGGCCTCAGACGTGCAAGCGAACCTCCACTGCATTTGTCTGTAGACAAAGTAATTGTGGAGTAAATGCCTACCACCCGGCAGCCCTGGGCCAGGAGACAGGAGCTGGAGAAGAGCCCAGCCTCTC